ACCCGCCTTTTTTTTATTGACGACCATGTGCAAATTGTGACGGGGGGGGAGGAGGGCGTGGGATAGGGGGGCCAGTCGATCGATCGACCGGAAGATTGATCAATTGACCGATCGATAAAAGGACGAGCCTGCGGCGGTCCGCCAGCCCCCGCGGACCCTTCTTTTTATGCTGCGGCGCTTCTCGTTTGCCATCTGCGAACGTTGCGATTGGTGGTTGCCTTGGGATCGTCTACGCGTTTGGATTGGCTGTTTACTGGTGGCCCCCCTCGCGTGCCCTCAGGGCACATGCTGCGTCTGTCTATTGTCCTCGAGGCGAGCCCAATGGCAGCGAACTGCGCGGGGTCGGCTGGGTGCGCAGCAAGGTCGGTTCGCTCTCGCGCGAACGCGAAGCCAATCAATGTGTAGCGATTTTCTCTTGTAGCGCAATAGGTGCGGCCATAGTTTACGCGGCGTTGAACATGCGCTTCCTTTGTCTGGCGCGCAGGGCGCCGTGTATTCTACGTGCGCCGAGACACGCAAAGAGGAAATCGCGAAAACAAGGCAACCTCCAACATGAATCGCAGCTTGTCCGAAGTATTTCCGGGGTATTCCCCAAGGCTGTTTTAACATGCTTTCATGGTCAAGGAACATGTTTTCTGTTGCAATTCCAATTATTGCTATACAAAAAAAACGCCTGTAGGAGGACATGCCCGACATAAGCTTTGACCTCAAGGGTGCCACGTTCCCATGAGCGGGGCAGCCCAGCGGCTCACTTCCGCGACTTGGCGGCGCAACTCAACGTCGCACGTCTTGATTGGGACGGCCAGGACGGAGCAGACAACCAGGATCACACCACGGTTGTCGGCCTCTGGTTTGCTACAGGTGCGCCATCTGTGGGCTTGTGGAGCGCTGTATTTAGGCCATCGTGCTGATGGAGGTCCTCGTGCACGGCTTCCTCGTTGCCGTCAAGTGCGGGCTGTGAGTGCGACCCTGTCTGTGTATAGGCTCGGCGTGCTCACCTTCTGGCCCGTTGTTTTGTCCCAGCCATCCTGCGGTGGTGGGTCCTTTTGAAGAGATAGCGCCCCGCGTTCCCACTCCTCCTCCTCCCCCTCCTCCACCCCTCCCTCTTTCCATCCGCCTCGTCACCTCCCTGCGTTTCACCCACCCAGTACAGCTTTTCGTGGCCCCATAGGGAGCTCCACCGAAGGCCCCAGCGGGAGCGTCCGCATGGCACCGCCGCACCATTTTGGCACACCCATCACACGGTTCGTGGCCCCATCGGGAGCTCTACCGAAGGCCCCAGCGGGAGCGTCGGCATGGCACCGCCGCCCCATTTTGGGACACCCCTCACACGGTTCGTGGCCGTTCCCTCCATCCCCATGGCACCGCCGCACCATTTTGGCACACTTTTCATACGGTTCGTGGACCCATAGGGAGTTCCACCGAAGGCCTCAGCGGGAGTCACACCGTTCGTGGCCCCATAGGGTGCTCCACCGAAGGCCCCAGCGGGAGCGTCGGCATGGCACCGCCGCCCCATTTTGGGACACCTTTCTCACGGTTCGTGGCCCCATGGGGAGTTCAACCGAAGGCATCAGCGGGAGCGTCCGCATGGCACCGTCGTTTCATTTTGGCCCCCCCTCTCACTCGGTTCGTGGCCCCACATGTAGCTCCACCGAAGGCCCCAGCGGGAGCGTCCGCATGACACCGCCGCTTCATTTTGGCATTTTCTGACACGGCTCGTTTCGTGGCCCCATAGGGAGCTCCACCGAAGGCCCCAGCGGGAGCGTCCGCATGACACCGTCGCTTAATGTTGGCACGCCCATCACACGGTTTGTGGCCTAATAAGAAGCTCCACACCTTTCACACGGTTCGTGGCCCCATAGGGAGCTCCACCGAAGGCCCCAGCGGGAGCGTCCGCATGGCACCGCCGCACCATTTTGGCACACCCTTCGCACGGTTCGTGACCCCATAGGGAGCTCCACCGAAGGCCCCAGCGGGAGCGTCCGCATGGCACCGCCGCCCCATTTTGGCACACCTATCACACGGTTCGTGGCCTCACAAGGACTTCCACCGAAGCCCCAGCGGGAGCGTCCGCATGGCACCGCCGCCCCATTGGGGCACGCCTTTCACACGGTTCGTGGCTCCATGGGGAGCTCCGCCGAAGTCCCCAGCGGGAGCGTCCGCATAGCACCGTCGTTTCATTTTGGCACACCTATCACACGGTTCGTGGCCCCATAGGGAGCTCCACCGAAGGCCCCAGCGGGAGCGTCCGCATGGCACCGCCGCCCCATTTTGGCACGCCCTTCACACGGTTCGTGGCCCCAGAGGGAGCTCCACCGCCAGTGGTACCCACAACGCGGTATTCACCATTGCGTATGGTTGCGCCTTTTGCCACGATGAGTTCTCTCTCTCTCTCTCTCTCTCTCTCCGTTTTTGTTGTGTCTTTACTTCTCTTTCTCTTTCTCTCTCTCTCTCTCTTTCTTTCTTTCTCTCTCTCTCTCTCTTTCTTGCTCTCTCTCTATGTATATCTATATTTGCCAGCCCGGTTCCTCGCGCGGCCACGCGACGTCGGTGTCTGGCTACGGGGACGGGGGACGCCCCGTCTTCCGCAAACCGCTCAGCGGCCTAGCCCTTGCCCCCTGGCCGCCAACCAGGATTTTGCCGACCTGGGCCCCTTCCGCCGCGGGGCGCCGAGAGACGTGGCGTATCGCCTACTCAGCACTCCGCCTTTTTACCTTGGTCGCTTCGCGCCAGGGGGAGGTTGTTTCAACGCCCCCCCGTACCGCAAGGTGGGCACCACCGCTAAGCGTGCAATGGCGGCCTCGGCTACCGCAGTAGCCGGCTGTCGACGGGACTCCCGTTTGCTTGTCCGATCTCTCTCTCTCTCTCTCTCTGTCTCTCTCTCTCTATGTCTCTATGCCTCTTTCTCGCTCTCTTTTTTTTTCCTCTCTCTCTCTCTCTCTTTCTCTCCCTCTCTCTCTCCTCCCTCTTTGTCCTTCTCGCTCCTCCCTCCTGGGCTGCTGCTGTGCGTTTATTATTTGACATGGGTGGCCGTTTGGGCCGTTGGGGATCGTTGCGCAGCGCCCTTGCTCCTTCTCCACCTTCTCTTCCCCTGCCTCCTTCTCCTTCTCCGTGTTTTTGTCATGTTGTGCTGGACTTGTACATTGGACTTTTACATGTTGCCGTCCGATCTCACACAACTTCGTGGATCACACTCCTGGGACACGGGCTTGCTATGGGGCTCGTCTCTGGTACGTTTGCTCCTGGCAGCTTAGCGCATCTTTTTTTCCCGCTCCTGCTCGCCTTTCTCCTTCAAGGCAGGTGCGCCGAGTGATGAACCCCCTCCTCTCCCTCGGTGGGGAAGCTGGCAATCTCACAATTCTTTGCACAGGGGTCACGGCAGAACTCCGAGCCCTCACGACAGAACTCCGAGCCCTGCGCGAGCCGCCCTCGCGGACGAACTGGGAGGCGCCTCGCCGCTTCTCGCCCCCCCCCCGCCCCGAAAGTGAGATCGTGATGATGCCCTGCGATCGGGAGGGCTCGGGCTGGCTACCTCCTGATCTAGTGCCCCACCCTTCGAGTGATAGGGAGGTCGGGGGGATGCTGAAGCTCCCGGTTTGCTGTTGGCTTCGCGTCTCATTGGCAATCCAGCTGTCTTCCTGTCGATCGAACCGTGTACCTGCAAGGCGAATCATCAAATTACGTAGTTAGCCAACTGACGGCCCACCTGCCAAACAAATGATTAGCGGTGGTGAGCTGTGATGGGTGGACAGTGGTGCGTGATGGGTTTCTACATGGTCCGTACCGTTCGTTTTATTAAGCGTGGCGTACATGTCTTGTTACATACGGTTTTTACTATGTATAGCACTACCCTTCTGAGTTTCACACACGTACACGTGTCCATCTACATGTGCACATGCGTATGCCGATGTGCAGTTCGCACGTCGTGCGATCCTTTTTTAATATGTGTGTGATCAGCCTCTCCAGTTGTCCACACTGCAGCTGTTTATAGCATCATTTGACTTGCATCCACACAACAGTTTGTCCCAGCGAGGCAACACCCGGAACAACGCACTGGACAGTCACAAGAAAGTCAGCGGGACAAACAAACGGACAACCCACGTGACAACCCGCGCGCGGGAAACAGCGATGCCGAGGCATGGAGAAATTGTTTGTCCGCGTTGGCCCTAGCTGCACCGACACATTGTCGCCCTGGCGCATGGCGCCGCCCGCACGCCCGACTTTGACCGAAGATAGTTCCCCGGTTGAGGCCACGTTGTTCGCACCCCCCTTCCCCCTTCCGAACCTCCGATGACAGGGAGACACAGGAAGACTGTGATGATAATGGGGGCGAGGAGAAGGAGAGGGTGGATGGGCCAAGGTGGAGGTGGAGGGGGGTGGGGATACGTACTGACAATCGTCGTCGTCCTCCCCCTCCTCATCCTCGCCTGTTCCTTGCGTTTCCTGCCCGCCTGCCCGCCCAGCCGCCTGCCCGCCCAGCCAACGTCTGTTATTCTGATAGCGCGGGCTGGGGCTTGGGAGCGTGGGCGGTGCAGTACGCACATCAAGTCAGATATTGGCATGCCAACAGGTGCCCCACGATACTGCCGTATCTTCCGATCGGCCCGCAGTGCTGTGGGGCACGTTACGAAGCTCAGAATCAACGAAAGACGTGCCCCTAGAACTATCATCGCAAGACTTCTTGGCTTATGTGCCCACTGTTGGTTTGAAAAGGACAGCGGGGAGGGTCCCGTTGGGCATCGGGCAGCTCGTGTTATTGTGAAGGCCTCACGGCCTCACGGCCGGTTCCGCCGACCCAGAAGGACGACGACGACCACGACGACAACGACAATGACGAGCTGATGACCCTGCCACGGGCGCGGAACACGGGTCGGGCGGCGGTGGAGGGAGGAGGGGGAGGAGGAGGAGGAAGAGGCGGAGGAGGAGGCGGAGGAGGATGATTTGGTTGGGCATCGGGCAGCTCGTGTTATTTGTGCGCCCAGCCGCGTTCTGCCTCACAGGCATGTGTCTATACTTCATCCAGATGTCCGCTTTCGTGGCTGGGAGTATCAGACGCATCCGAGGATGGGAGGAAGAGCGAGGGCGCCGTGCAGATTTGCTCCGCGCTGGCTCGTTCATCGACCGGCAGGTCTCGACTCCGAGTTTTTTTGGCGGCCTGGATGACCATGAAGAGTACGAGTGCATGCAGACCAGGTTCACCCATGCCTGTCTATTGCTCACTTAGACATGCTGCGGCGCCTGTGCGTTTTGATTTATCTACAGTCAACCCGCATAATAAGAATGGGCACCCTTCCCAAGGGTACCCTTGCATCCTTGCCTCCTCGGTCCATCCTTGGCCACTTTCGTTGGCCGCGCCCCGCTCGAAAAGCTTCGAAATGTCCTTCCAAGGCCCTTGCATCCTCATCATACATCCTTACTATACGGCTTGACAGTATACACTTCGACCCACCCCCCACTCCGCCGTGGATGGGCGCGCCACCACAACCAACTAACATGTTGCCCGATCTTCGTTTCGGACTCGGATGCGTGCTCTATTTCTGGGTGGGGCTGTCGAGTGACCTAGCTTGATGGGCCTGTTTTCCACTACCACCACCATAAGTTGGAGGGGGAGAGCAGGTGGAGGATGAGGAGGAGAAAAGGAGGAGGAGGAGGAGGAGGAGGAGGAGGAGGACCCCCTCCCCCTCCTACTTTTGGTGGTGTTGGTGGAAAACAAGCCCACCATAGCTGGCGGGGCCGACCTCGATTCGAGGCACCATCCAGGCTGATGCCCAGCGTATGTCACGGAAACCAGATGGGAGTTTACGCTGTCCATGCCATGGTTTGAGCTCGCAGCCACCGTGGCACGTACGAGATCACACCGTTCATAGGAGCCCGTCCGAGTAATTTCGTTGGCTTGTCGCGTCCGCACGTGCCCACAGGGCGACGAAGTATCGAATGCGCCGGCGGCGAGTCACAGCCGCACCCCGCCTTTGGGACAAGCCTCATGTGGCAAAGAAGTTCAAGAGGGTTGGCGTAAGGTGCGGGCTCTTGCGTTACAGGGTTCAGCATTTCACAGAACAAAGGGAGAATATTACGATTGCGTTTCGTTGCCATGCTCTCCCACTTCTTGTTGCAACGAATGCGGGAAGACAGGGGCAGGAATCCGCAGGAGTTTCCTTAACGCTTGGACCTGGTGGCCGATAATCGATGCTGAAAGAAATTGTGAAATATGTGTTCAATCAGTTCCTGGAGGGGTCATCCTGGGCCGCCTCGGGGCTGCCCTTTGTCTATCTAGGGACCTTTGGGTTCTTCTTTGGGGCCTTTGTGGGCCATACTGGTGCGCTCTCTGGGCGTCTGGCGCCTTCGGAGGCCATCTTGGGGGCCTCTCAGGGCCGTCTTGGGGCTCTCCTGAGACCCTTGAGGCTATCACCTTTGAGCATTCTTCTAAAACGCCGAGTCTATTTGAATCCGAGCATCATTGAAACGCCTTGGATGTTTCACTGTGTTTTGCCTCTCGGAGGCCCACCTGGGGGTTCCCTTGGAGCCCTCTTGGGCCGTCTTGGAGGCCCCTTAGGGCGTCTTGGGGCCATCGTGGGCCATCTGGGGTTTCTCTGGGCCGTCTCGGAGGCCACTTGGGCCATCTTGGACCATCTTGTTAGCGTCCAGAGCCATCCTGGAGGCCTTCTCGGAACCACCTCGGACGGAGGACAACAGCACATGTTCATATACATATATATATGTATATGTATATGTATATCTATATCTATATGTATATGTATGTATATATATATATATACGCACACCTTATTTTACGCAGACTGCCTGCGGGGCGGTGGCAGCGGAATCTCTTGTGCCTTTTGGGGGGGTACATTTGTCAAACCAAGTGAGAAGATGGCCTTTCAACGGGTGTCCAACGATCACTTCGCATCTCTCGATGCGTCTGCAGATTCCCCTGGCGCACCCCACGGAGCTCAGAGCCGACGCTGTGTATGACCCGAGACTCCTCACAGCAAGCTGTCTTAATCGTCTGCGCCGGGTGTCTCGGGGGCGGGGTGGGCGGGCGAGGGGAGGAGAGGGGCAGCCACCCTAAAGCGAGCTGAGGGACATAAGGAGTGCAACCGAGCGTGCGCCCGCGGCCGCGTCGGCTCAAGCGGCCGGCCGCCCAAATATAACTGTGCCTCACTGCGAGGCACACAATCGCTATTGAGACCAAAAGGATCTTCCTATTGTTTAAGATGGCACGTCCTCTCCTACTGGGACTAACGCTACAACGGGACAACAGAGCTGGAGCTTGGCTTCGCCTAAGGCGAAGCTGTTGCTTGGGCCTCCCAGCCCCCTTCGAACTTGGTAGCGGAGCTGGCCTATGGTGGTCAGCTCTTGCTCTTCTCCTCACCATCCACGGCACTCTCTGGTGGACCACGGACATGGTGGAACATCAGGGTGCAGTGGGTTTGCGCGGAGGAATGTACATGGCTTCGCAGTACCGCAAGGACACTTGCAACGATACCTCTGTTCAAGCGGAGGTCTCTTACTTACATCCTACCCCCCTGCGCTTCTACACTCCTGAAATCCACCATCCTATTGCAACTTGAAATTTCTTCGAAGATATAATGCATGGAAACATGCGATGCGAAATACTGCCGCCTCCGACCCCGCGCAGACTTACGACTACTCAACGGAAGTCCCAACCGACTACATCCGACTACGACCTACGAGGCCATTGGAATTGTGTTACAGCAGCGATTTGCGGGGCAACCTGCTCACCGACAACGATCCAGAGGACCAGCAGTGGCTGCCGCTGCAGCTGCATTTCAGGGCACCAGTACCCCTACTCCAAAGGAGCCTGTGCCACGTCGCGGCCCCGCACCAGGTCGGACGCGCAGGACAGGATGGGTGCCCACGCTGGAACGACGAACAAGGGATGCTTCCTCAACGAGGCGCGGTACAGAAAAAATACTGGCCACCTCATCGAAGGCGCCAGGAATGGCTCCCAGAGATTAGACAGCCGAGTCTCACAACATCAAGGAAAAGACACGTCAGGACTTCGACATCAGTACCCCGACAGGAATTCCTCGGACGCCCAGGGGAACTGCTGGCGCCGCCATATTGGCGGCGAGCGCGCCGGCACCTGCCGCGCCAGTGGCAGCTCAACGTCCAGCGGGGCAACCTGCTCAGAGCTCCGCAGGGCAACCTGCTCAGAGCTCAGCAGGGCAATCTGCCCTCACTTTGGAGATGCCAGTGGAATACCGAGAGTTCTGGGACAAGCTACGCAAGTCCAATCGTACGAAGATCAACGCAGCATATCATCCCCAGATTGATGGCGGGTCTGATCGATACATGGCGGAGCAGTGCGATCTCGTGGACACTGCCGTTCATCATGACCTCGATTCACACACTCACCAGACAGTGCGCAACATTCTGCGTAAACGCCCAGCACTCACGCTCGACTCTGAAAGGGAATATCTGACTGGGATCCTTATTTCAGAAAATGTCTGAACGCCAAAGTTCAGCGATGAAAAGCAAAGTCAGATTTCAGAGTGGCTGGCGACTGCCCTTCGTCACAAACCTTTTCATAAAAGGTTGTCCGTCGGACAGATTTCTGCGGGGGGTATCATCCTGCGATGAGTGCGACGGACGGGCAGAGTTATCGCGCTTGCTCAACAACTGGCCAGCTGGAGGATATGAGAGTTATCATCACAAGCACCTGGGGACTGCGCGCCACAAGCTCAAGGATCAACGCTAGGCGTGCCAGGCTTTAGCTGTGCTTGCCCTTATTGGCATGATTGATAACACAGAAATGCAGAAGAACAGGCTGCAGCTCAAGAAGATGAAGTACTCCTCCGAGAAGCACGATGCGTACTTCACCCGCCCAAGTAACGGACGCAGCAGCCCTGGGATACGGTGCCCTGAATCATTATATATGCGAATTACGGACTTGACCGTTCCAGGCGCACCCTGTTATTTCATTCGTTGAACTCTATGGGAGCATCTCCTTAATATCCTTTGTGTCGGATTGTCATGCCGCGCCGATGACACCAGCAAGAAGAGGGGCAGACAGTTTGTACATGGTTGCCCATGCCTTCCTGGTGATATTCGAATCCAGTCTGGTCTGCGCGTTGATTCCGAGGTGTTGGTCATGGTTAGCTTGAAGAACCTGCTTCGGGGCAGCGTGCCGATTTGGCGCTCAGCGAATGACATCACCATGTCAGCAGGCCGCGGCGGCAGGATTCCTCCGACCCATATCGTCCAGCTGATAAGCATTCTGCCCAACCGTTATTGCAGGTGCAATCGTGTGGGGCAACTATGGGACAACCCCTCATGCCTGCGAGATAGCAATCAGCCGCATCAGGGTGGTAATATTTCCATCGAAAGGCTGTGCGCATATCGTAATGACGCATCGTATATGAAAGATTGGTTCATCCCAGAGGCCCCCTACAACTTGAAGTGCCCCGGTGCGATTCCCATTCAGGAAGTCGAGTTCGCAACCGTGCTCATGATGCAGGACACGTATCACGCGGGGACGTTTGCAGGGGGATTTGATGGACCATGGATACAGGCTCAGAACGCGGATGTGACAGTTACCTCAAGTGGCATCGCGCCCTCCGACACGCTGTGCGCCAACGATCCGTGGCGTGCTCATGTGCAACAACTGCCAGTGCCCGCAGGGCAACGTGCTTCACTTCCTCCAATGAGCAGAGCTACCACACCATTTGGTGCTCCACAGAGTGCTGGTAGCACAAACAGCCGACAGGCGAGGCTCCAAAGCACTCGAATGGACCCGCAGCTCCATCATGCTTTACAGGCGGCATCGCCATTTGCATCGCCACGTCCACATGCGGGGCAACCTGCTTTTCCTGACCAATATGCTGCACAGAGAACCGAGAGTTTGGTTGGTCAGCAAGAACGGATGTACCGGCAGATGCAGTATGCGTAGGGGTGGCATGGACTTCCCTAGCGCCAGCTGGGCGCCGCCTTGGGAGTATGTTCCGGATCCAAATCCATCGCCGGACAACCCCAATCGGTTTGGATAAGTGCCAGCATTTTTCAGTCATCCCACATGCGATCCAACGGCTGCTGACCGTCCAACAGCAGCACCAATGGTCTACCCACCTTATCCTGACTATCGCGCTCAGGTAGGTGGCACTCCCCGAGTGGGGACACAGCCCGAAAACCCGTATGTTCGGGCGACGGCCGACGACTTCTACCAGTCTCAG